TTAAGAGAAAGCTGGATGCAGGCGTTCTAGATAGGACTTGGGTCCAAGGTCTCCCATTCAAGGTTTTAAGGGATCCCCCATTAGCCACACCCCATCACCCCCTCCTCCCAACGACAATCCCAGGCATTACATTCTCACCCCCTTTTCCTCACTGCCGGGAGGAGACTTCAGAAAGGATTACATGAAAGCTAATGACCCCCATTGTTATTGTTAGTCCTTTTGGTGATATCCACATCCAGTCCCTTTGAAGTAGGCTGAAGGAAGTGAGGGCCATAAAGCCCCTTTGTTCACCCCCTTCCCTTCATCGTATGACAGAATCCAGAGCAGGCAGAAATGCAGTTTTTCATAGTTGATAACTAGAGATGGAATATATTTGGATTCTGACACTGGGATTCAACTCAAGATATCTCACACAAGTTGTCATCAAGTGCAGCATATACCATATATAACACTGTCCCCACTACTATTCTGTATACACTTAAACCCACTCAGCCAGATAATCACAAGGAGTGGATATGGATACAAATTCAAGAGTAGAACTCCATCAGCTACCTCCTCTACATGGATGACATCAAGATGTAGTCTCTGTGTGTGTGTGTGTGTGTGTGTGAGAGAGAGAGAGAGAGAGAGAGAGAGAGAGAGAGAGAGAGAGAGAGAGAGAGAGAGAGAGAGAGAGAGAGAGAGAGAGAGAGAGAGAGAGAGAGAGAGAGAGGTAGTTAAGACAGAGGGGTTGAGCTCCCAGGAGACCACATAGCAGAGTGATTTGGTATCTGTCACGCCTAAACCCAAAGACGACACAGCAAAATCCAACCAAGTCCAATCCTTTATTTGCTTATACCTAATGGACAGAATCTTGCCAAACTAAAATTATAAACTTTGAACCTACTAGATATATCCTGAGATTCTAGGGCAGTGGTGGCGAATCTATGGCACGGGTGCCAGAGGCGGCATTCAGACCCCTCTCTGTGGGCATGCGCGCCGTTGCCCCAGTCCTAGGCCTTCAACTGGGTTTTATAAAACCTTTTCGCTTTAGGCCTCCGCCGCCGTGTGCAAAAAAAAAAGGTTCAATCAATTTCAACTTCTCTCGGGAAAAAAAGATCTTGCAAAGTTGGAATTGATTGATTGAACTTTTTAGTCCCACCCAGTCTGCCTTTACCACCGCAGCCACGCCCACCCAATGGGCCACACCCACCCGGCACTTGACAATGCATAGGTGGGTTTTGGGTTGCAGTTTAGGCACTCAGTCTCTAAAAGGTTCGCAATCACTGTTCTAGGGTATGGCTACACTGAAGCTCTTCCCTCCCCTTCTATCTATCTTGGGACTGTACAACCTCTTAATCTGCAGAATTTGTAGACAACCCCCTTGCCCAAGGCAGGAATTCTTATTCCATCCCAGACAGGTGGTTGTCCATTCCTTTCTTGAAAAGCTCCAGTGTTGAAGCACTCACAACTCTGGGAATATAACAGTAAGAAGGCACTCAAACACACACTACATAGGATCCGTGGTGCAAACAGGTCTCAATCCAACATATAATGGCAGGGTATAGAAGCAGGCAGGAACAGGATAAATTGAATGGCATAGCATACAGGAACATCTGCACAATAGATATACCAGACCCTCCCAATCACAACTGGGAGATTCCACATAAAATCATGGAGAATAACAGGGCTAACTAATATCCTATGGCAGGGCTTTTCAACCGGTGGTTTTCAAGCGGGGGTGGGGAATGATGCTTGGCAACTGATTCATATTTATGACGGTCACAGTGTCCCAGGATCACGTGATCCTGTTGTGCGACTTTCTGACAAGCGAAGTTCATAGGGGAAGCCAGATTCGCTTAACAACTGTGTGGCTAATTTAACAACTGCAGCGATTCACTTAACAAATGTGGCAAGAAAAGTCATAAAATGGGACAAAATTCATTTGACAAATTTTTAACTTAGCAACATAAATTTTGGGCTCAATTGTGGTTGTAGGTTGAGGACTATCTGTACACCCACTTACCACACTTTTACTGGGAAACTTGTGCCTGTTTCTCTGACATTAATCTTTGCACTGTTCTACCCCCTTCTCTCCTTCTGGTTGATTCAAAGAAGCTGATAGGTGATTGCAGGGGCTTTGGAGGGGGGGTGCGGCTTCTGCACTTGAAGTGGGGGCATGGGGGGTGTTAGGGTGCTAGTTGGCTATCCCCCAAAGATTCCCTAACTTTAAAACAGCTCTTGGGTGGCAACAGTTACCCAGCACGAGGGGCTCAGGAGAAAGAGATGCCGGCAATGCTAACTCCCAAAAATGAGGGGCTCAGAGGCAGCTATAAACAGGGGAGGCAAGGGGGGGGGAGAAAAAAAGGAAATCAAACCTGATTGACAGGGAGCATAGTAACCCTGCCCCTACTCCGCAGAGGACAGATCCCCATCATCCCCAGCTCAGCAGGGCTCTTCCTGCTGCACTGTTGCAGATAAAGGGGGGCTCCAATGAGGAGGAGGTGGAGGAAGAAGATTTAAGCAAGCTTAGCAACCGGAGTTGGGGTCCCCTCACAAAAACAAACATGCTTTGTGGGTAACCACCCAGCATGACAGAAGTGACCAAAACCTGCTGCAACCACCCAGCAGATGGGGAAGGGGATAAAAACCATACAGCCCCCCCTGCCAATTCTCAACAGAAATGCTCACGACAACGAAAACCTCGGACAGGGGGAAGAGCGCAGGCAGGCGGGCGTCTTGCTCGGCTGGTGGCTGGGGGGGGGGAAAGGAGGCAGCTTCACACTCCCCAAATGCTGCCCTCTCACAAAAGCAGGATGAATACTCCAAAAAACGACCAGGAAAAAAGGTTAAAACAGAAGAGTGTCTCTTCTGAACAAGATAAAAAAAAAAGATCACATCCGCATCCAGCTCTTGGGGGTGGAGTGGGGGATTTTTATTTTTTGCCTCGTTTTGCTCTTTTAAAAAGACCGCCCCTCCCAACACCAGAAGTCGCGCGCCATTACCATTCGCCTGCTGCGCCCCCCAGACTTAAATCCCTTCTTTCCCTTCCTTTGAAACAAACAACCCCCCCCCCAAATCCTCCTGTTCCTCCCTTCTGAATTATAATGAAAGAAAGCCAAGTTTTTTCTTTTGCGGTCTTTACATATTTAAATTACTAGAAGGAAGTGGGGAAGCAAACCATCACGAGACACTCTTCTGTTTTAACCTTTTTCCCTTGTCGTTTTTTGGAGTTTTCATCCTGCTTTTGTGAGGACAGCGTTTGCGGGGGTGAAGCTGCCCTCTTCCCCCCCCTCCCCCCCAAGTCACAACTGAGCAAGACGCCTGCCCGCCCGGCCACTCTCTTCCTCCTGTCCTAGGTTGTCGGTGTTGTGAGCATTTCTCTGTTGAGGATAGGCAGCGGTGGGGGGTGTTTGGTTTTTATTCCTCCTGCCTGTCTGTTGGGTGGATGCAACAGGTTTTGGTCACTTCTGTCGTGCTGGGAGGTTACCCACAAAGCATGTTTGTTTTGGGGGACGGGATCTGTCCATCTGATCGGCGCTTCTTCTGGGCTGAGCAGACGTGCCAGGATCAGCGCCGGGCTCCAGCTGACTGGCACTTCTTTGGGGCTCAGCAGAAGCGCCAGAATCAGCACCGAGCTCCAGCTGGAGCCCGGCACTGATCCTGCCGACAGCCCCAAAGAAGCGCTGATCAGCTGGAAAGCGGCATTGATCCTGGCGCTTCCACTGAGCCCCGAAGAAGCGCTGATCAGCTGGAAAGTGGCACTGATCCTGGCGCTTCTGCTGAGCCCTGACAGCCCTGAAGAAGTGCTGATCAGCTGGAAAGTGGCACTGATCCTGGTGCTTCTGCTGAGTCCAGAAGCGCCAATCAACTGGAAAGCGGCACTGATCCTGGTGCTTCTGCTGAGCCCTGACAGCCCTGCAGCTCCAGAGGTCTCTCACTCAGGCTTGTGCGGTGCTGCCACCGGTTCAGCTCATTCCCTTCCCCCGTTACCACTTGTCTAGAATGGTCACGTACCACCTGCCAGGTGTCAATGTATCATCGATGGTACGCGTACCACCAGTTGAAAAGCCCTGTTCTATATAATAGATTTGGAAATTCATAAGGGAAAAAAAATCTTGTTGGCAAGGATAATCATGTTTACTGTTATTAAGAGGAAGAGATGATTATAGGTGCAAGAAAAGAGGACTATTAGGAACAAACAAATGTGGTTGCAATCATGAATTTCATTCTTGTCAACAGTTTTTTTCAAGGAATCACTGTATTTCACTTTCTAAAACCTGATAGAACCTTCCTTTTATTGAGCTAAATAGAAAAAGTCGCTAGAACTGCTAATTTAGCCTGTTTCTCAAGCTGACTGAATGAAAACAGCCAAACCATTTAAAAAAAATTCTCCTACTCTGCTTCCCTTTCCATAATCCCACATTGTTTTTCCAGTCTATGTCTATAGATTCTTTATCTGCAAATATTATGCCTTTCTGCCTTATTGTTTGAAATTAAAAATAATAAAATCTATAATCTAACCCAATTTACTCTGTAACAACTCTTTTTAGGGTGCAAATTATTTCAAAATGTGACACACAATTTGAAGTTTTTTTGGTAGAAGGAAAGATATGCAATGCAACTAATTCTGTATTTTCTGTATAAAATCTTGTCAAGTTCATTTTTGTAGCTATTTTTGAACTGTTCACATATTGTCCCAGAAAAAAATGGAAAAAACTCAATATATTTTTTGCTCTGTGACACAATATGCAAGTAACTTAACTTCTGCATTTTTTTTTCAAACTCTCTAAAACTGAAAAGAGTCTTTGCCTCTTGCTTTAAAGATAACCCATTATTAAATGATAAATTAAAAAAGTTTTATTTAATTGTATTTATAATTTGCCCTAAGATTATAGGAATCTGGGCAGTGTATAATAGTAAATACAAACAAAGCTACAACAAAAACATCACAACGAAAGCTCGGTCAAAATAAATGGAATTGTGAAAGTATTGTACATAACTAATTCCTAATAACTTACCGTGTATGGTTTCCTAATAAATTTTCTGAAAGGCTGACTTGGGAATCTTGGTGATTTCTGGTATTTATATGTTTGAGCATTCTGAAGCTTTACAAAGCTACTATCCTGTGCATGCCTAAACAACAAAATATTTCAGCTTTTATCAATTTAAATAAATATATTTAAACTGGCACAGTAATATAAAATTTAAATCAAACATAATTTATGAAAACTTTGATAAACTCAACAGTCATCTGATATTTCTAACAAACATGCTAATCATAAAGTATCTTTGCTCATACAATCTTCCATATCTTGAGACTAAATACATTATTTGGAGATTATCAAGCACCATTAAGTATTTGTGCAAAAACTACACTATTTATTCTCTTCTGAAAGTTCAATTTATAGTTCAATGTAACGCTCTAAAATGATCTGTTTTAGAAGATTAGTATTTTCTAATTATTCAATATCTATCAAATTATTGCATATTAAGACATTATAGTACATCTTTATCCATCTGAAATTAATCCAATCGTTTTAGACCAATTCAGTCATGTCCATTAGACCAAAGCTGTTCATGATCAAGTCTGACCCAAACATTCCATAAATACAATCTGAGAGATTAGTGATTCAAAGAGACACTATAGTTATTCAAATATAATATAAATGCCAAAACTCCTGCCAAAATGTCAAATTAAACAAAATATGCTTTTGGATGAACTTCTAGTTTGGAAAGGAACTGAAAAAGGGTGGCAGCCACCAGCAATCTTTTTCTATGGCCTCATAAATAGAGAAGTTAAATGGATATGAGCTCAACAGTTTTGGCAATTCATCTTGTAAAAATAATGGTTCATTTTTTAAACACATTTAAAGCATAAATTTTAATGACAGCCACTTTACCATATTAAAAATAATTTTGTTCAAAATTGTGAATAAAAATATAAGACATTCAATAAGGTAATTATCTTAAATTTATTAGGTAAAATGAAACAAAACTAAATTCCAGGAAACTGATGGTTGATAAAATGGCCTGCATTCTGTAGACACATGGCAAATATTTACAGTGAAAAATGTAAAGCAGTGGATGCCAGTGTCAAAATTCAAACGCCACAGCAAATCATAAGAATATCTAACAACCTAATAAACTAATTCTGAAAAAAGGTAGCTCTGGCTGTGCTTGATATATAATATAGCATCTGCCAAACAGACACGGAATGATTGTATTCCTCCTAGTATTGTTTTATACTGAAGGATAACCTGGATTCAAAAATTATAGCTAGATGGCTTGGTACTGGGAACTCTGAATGTGTAACAAAGTTTATTTAAATAATGAATGATCTGGCCTGAGTGTGGGTGACAAATATATTATAGAGAGCAAAGAATGACCTATAGTTTAGCAAAGAGCCGGTTTACCTGGTCATTCATCGTTCAGAACAGCTTTGCCAGACAGCATTTTGCTAATATTATGGCTGAAGATAAGCTATATTTTCTGCTAGTGTTGTGTAGGCACAGCTATTTGGAATGTACATGTTTTGAAGGCTATGTCGTGGAAAGGATTTTACATTAATTAAACTGGCTTATAAAATTCAACTATGGAATAAAGATAATTGATAGCAAATTGTTTGTCTGAAAGATGGTAGCAGTGCAGCAAAACCAAAAGCTAAAAGAGATACACATATATGAAACATATTTGCCAAGGGCATTTGAATGACTGGTTAGCATTTTTCACAATATAAGGATGTAACTAGGGCAGACGTGTTAAACCCAATTTCATTGAGGGCCGCATCAGCATTGTGGTTGCCCTTGGGGGCCAGGTTGGTGTGGCTGGGGTGGGTGCGGCCTACTAGGTGGGTGTGCCTGGCATGGGCATGGCCTACTGGGTGGGCATAGTCATCTCGATGTCACTTGTGTCAAGGGTGCCTGTGCAGGCCTGGGGTGGATCCGAGGGTCTCCGGCGGAGGGAAGGTGGGACTGGGGCGAGTGCCAGGGCATTGTTCACTGGAGGAGCCTCACTGTCCCTCTCAGGCTGTGCAAGGGGGGGGCTGGATGGTGGCACTGGAGGTCAAGCGCTCAGCCCAGCCCCTTGAGCTTCCACAGCACTGCCTAGCCCAGCCGCACTTCCCCAAGGGGGCGCCTCCTCAAGGCTACTGTGCTTGCTCTCCTTGGCCAGGTTGCTCATGGTGGGTGCAGGAGGGCAAAGCATGGGTAAGAGGGAGGCCCACTTCCTCTCCATGCAAGGAGATCTGGCTTTGTAACCAAAGCATCCTCAGCAATAGGATGGGAGGCCATCAGGGAATGGCAAAAGGGCAACAGGGCTGCTGGTGGCCAAGTGTTACGGTTAAGACTTCCTTCAGGCCCTCCCTCCCACTCATTCCAATCTCCCTCCCTCTGTCCTTCCTTCCTTCCTCCCCTCCTTCCCTGCCTCCCTCCTTTTCATTCCCATCTCCTTCCTTCCCTTTCTTTCTTCCTGTTTCCCTCCCCTCCTTCCTTCCCTCCCTCCCTCTCTGTGTCCAGGAAGGGACAAGGGGAGGGGGAGAAGTTGGCAGCGCTTCTCTCAAATGACAGAATTGGAAGAGACCTTTGAGATCTTCTAGTCTAACCTCCTGCTCAAGCAGGGGACCTATACCATTCCAAACAATGGAATATCCAATCTCTTCTTAAAAGCCTCCAGTGATGGAACATCCACAACTTCTGAAGGCAAGCCTTTTCACTGGTTAGTTGTTTTCACAAGTCCTTAGTTCGAAGCTGGTTTTCTTCTTGATTAGTTTCCATCTGTTATTGCCTTCTGATGCTTTGGAAAATAGGTTGACCCCTTCTTCTGTGTGGCAGCCCATCAAATATTGGAACACTGCTATCATGTCACCAGCCCTAGTCCTTTTCACTAAGCTAGACATACCCAATTCCCATAAACATTTGTCATATGTTTTAGCCCAATGGTGGCGAACCTATGGCACAGGTGCAAGAGGCGGCACTCGGAGCCCTCTCTGTGGACACACGTGCCATTGCCCCAGCCTCACCTCCCCCCCGTGACCCCCTCCTCTCCAGCAGCCCCTCTGAAGGAGAGTCGCCCCTGAGTGTGGCCCACCCAGAGCAGCGCAGCCAAGGACATGGCAGCCAGGCAGCGTAGACAAGACTCTGCCCTCACGCACAGTTGATGCTGCAGGGTGCGGGCAGAGGGTGTGACCCCCATAGCGCTGCTGGGCTGCCTGGGCGATCTGTGGTGGGCCCTGGAGGCGGTGAGTGGCCCTGCGGGCAGGCGGGGCGGGGAATGAGGGGCAGAGCGGGGACGGGGCAGGGGGTGGAGTGGGGGCAGGGCCAGTTTTTGGGCACTCGGTCTCTAAAAGGTTTGCCATCACTGTTTTAGTCTCCAGCCCCCTACTCATCTTTGTTTGCCATCCATTTACAGTTGCAAGAAAAAGTATGTGAACCCCTTGGGATAACGCAGAGTTTTGCATGAATTGGTCATAAAATGTGCTCTGAACGTCATCTAAGTCACAACAATAGAAAAACACAGTCTGCTGAAAATAATAATACACAAACATTACATGTTGCTATGGTTTAATTGAACATAACATGTAAACATTCAAAGTGCAGGGAGGAAAAAGTATGTGAACCATTGGACTTAATAACTGGTTGACCCTCCTTTGGCAGCAATAACCTCAACCAAACGTTTCCTGTAGTTGCAGATCAGACCTGCACAACGATCTGGAGTAATTTTGGACCACTCTTCTTCACACAACTGTTTCAGTGTAGCAATATTCTTGGGATGTCTGGTGTGAATCGGTCTCTTAAGGTCATGCCACAACATTTCAATATTTATGTAAAGCCGCTGGGGGAGATCAATATTTATGTAAAGCCGCTGGGGGAGATCATTCGTGGTTTTGGGGTGGATTTCCATCAGTACGCTGACGATACTCAGCTGTACATTTCCACCCCAGACCACCCCAACGTTGCCCTTGACGTGATGGCCCGTTGCCTGGAGGCCGTACGGGTCTGGATGGGGAGGAACAGACTCAGGCTCAATCCTTCCAAGACCGAGTGGCTATGGTTGCCAGCGCCTCGGCATAGTCAGCTGACACCATCGCTGACTATAGGGGGCGAAACTTTGGCCCCCTCGGAGAGGGCGCGCAACTTGGGAGTCCTCCTGGATTCGCGGCTGGCACTGGATGACCATTTGTCGGCCGTGACCAGGGGGGCGTTTTATCAGGTTCGCCTGATCCACCAGTTGCGGCCTTTTCTGGACC